ATATATTTGTACCATATATGTGGCATGAGACATAATAAGCTTCATTGAAATGGTAATTCTCTACCACTAGGAAAAAAATTTTGAAAGGCGCAGATGGTGACGTGTGGGTTAGGTTGAGACCATAACTTCTATTGTGACAATCGTTTTTTAAACATATGATTATTATTTAATTAGATAAGAGCCGTGGTGGCTCAGGGGATGGGGTGTTCGCCTTCCAAAGAGGAGAACCAGGTTTGAATCCCAACTATGGCTGGTCGATACGAATTCCGCGCTCTGCTATCACCGATCAAAGTGCTGATGTAAAATATCCTTAGTGGTAGACGGATCATGGCTTAGAGTCCCCTTGCCGTCAGGCTAACTGTGGGAGGTTTTCGTGGTTTTCCTCACCTCGTAAAGCAAATGCGGGCTAGTTGCATCAAAAAGTCTTCCTCGAAGACAAATTTCCCCCAATACTTGAGCCAGGAGTTCCCTTGTCTTCTGGATTGGGTTCAAAATTACAAGCTTGCGGAGTTGTGATATGAAATCCGAAAACTGGGTCGGCTGTTCAACGACGATTATAATATTAATTTAGATAGTTAGTATAAGTCTTTGACACTCAGAAAAAAATATAAAAAATGAAAAAATTAAGTTTCCAGTTTATATCTTCTTGAAAAATGTGTACGACAGAGTATGAGAGTGTAGTCAATGGGTAAAAATACACGAAATGCAAAGTGTTATGGTATTATTCGGTTGAAAGGGGATAAAGCATACCCAAAACATCTGTATTAAAAAAGAATTTAATTCATATTTTTTCAAATAACACTTTAAAAAAAATCAAGAAATATAAAATAAGTGTAAAGAAAATAGGATATGGATTCAAATAATAATGTAAATACTAATAACCGCATAACATAGTTCAAATTATTTTGAGAAAAAATATAAAACACTTTTTTACATTAAATGGCAACTAAAATTGCATTTTCAAAGGCAACTTATTTTGATATACTTTAAAATAGTTCTACTAAAGCGGTTAAGCATAGTAATGATTCAAGAATACCTAAAATTCACTACCGTAAATAATTTGAATTTTTATGATAAGTATATGTATTATAATTGGAATTACGAATTTGCAAATTGAAATTGTTATTTTTAAAATTATTTCCTTTCAAAGATTCATGAAGAATCGAAATAAATTTCTAAATATCAGAATCATATTCAAGATTTATTATACTGAGTAGGTTCTTAAAACCTTTAGAACTGATTCAATTAAAGCTATTTCTATTTAAATCTTCAATAATTTCGTTAATAATAACTTTTTGCTGTAAATTTTTACAATTTAATTTTTATTATAATATATAAATTTTAATTATGTTTATAGTTGATACAATTATGAATAACATTTTGAACGATTTTATTTTATAACTCAATAGTACCTCAAATAAATCTTCACAGATAAATTTTATATTTTCATCTGTGCAATAAAGTGCTTATAACTAGAGAAATAAAACACTTTTTCAGAAATACACATTTATATCGCAACTTTTTGTTGACGCTTCTTATATTTTAATCTTATACTATAGGTATTATACAATAGTTAATGCAATTAAAATTATTTTCTGTCAGTAATTTAATAATACTTAAAATATCTTACTGGTGTTAGTTTTTAATTCTAAAAGTACTTACTGTTATCATGCTAAATCCGTTGTAAATACTCTAAACCAAAGATAAGTTTAGTTCAAAAATTTCGGAATCTAATAATGTCGTAGTAAAGCCTACACCCAATCTTTATATACTCAAATACTTTCCTTACATTTTTTTCACGCCATTTTTTATACATACCTGAACTTACCCATTATAATCCGAAGAAAAAGCTCAAATATCTCATAAATGGCCCTGAAATGTCACCAAAGCTAAGTAATTATTTGCAAAAAATTTAACTCAACAAAAGGGTGTAACGAAAAAAATTGTTCTATAAACGTTTATTCGAAAGATAGGAAGATACTGCTATCTATTGTCAATTGCTTATTAGTATTTTACCCTAATCCAGTTATGTTGTCCAAGATGTCAGCCCACTTTGTCCACCACTTTGACCTCGGTGTGTAGAGATTAGTGGCTTTTGTTTAAGTGGGAGATTGTCTGAAAATGGACAAGGACATGAGGAGGATTGTTACCACAAAGAATCCGAAGTAATTTATGGATTGTAAGTTGGCGGTATATCTTTAATCCACTTTATTAAAATATGTATTTGAAATTGGCACATTTAAATTTCTCTTTTTGTACAATTGACCTACGACCGAAGATGACATTTTTAAAAATAAAATGTTTGCCATTTGAAACTTCAATAACTTCTTTTTAGAAACCTTAACAAGTAGCTTCTATGTAGCTTAGCTTTCCGTCAACAAAATCAGATTTAAATCGAAGCTCGGAGCGAAACTTTTTTCGAAGAATCTCAGCTATTCTATGAATTACCACTAATTAATGGTTCTTTTAAGCAAGGGAGAAGTAGATATTCACCATCTATCCTTTAAAAAAACTGCAGAAATTCTTGAGGTCCTCTTCTGACGTCATAGCATTGACTTGATTATTTCTTTTTTTTGACGTTCCGAGTTTGTTTGTAAATACTCGGAATACTCAGTTGTGCTGAATTTTATTTTTGTGTCGTGTTATTGTGAAAAAATGTGTTTTTCGTATTTTAAAACATCAGATCTGAAAAAAAGTTCTTTGGGAAATTATCCTATATTGATCTGCAGTTACTTGATCGTTCAAATGTGGATTGACACAATTTAGTTTACACCAGCGAAAATTCTTCTACCGGAAGTTGAAACAGCCCCTACAAATATCGCCCCCTACCGTGGAGAAAAGGAAACACGGTCGAAAATAAGGTGAATAGTTGTCGAAAAATTTAACAAGGAAGGGAAAGTTATTTTAAATATAGTTAAAACTGAGCTGAATACTTTTAAATTAAATTGTGGGTTTCGACAGATTACTTGGAATCCTGCTGATAGTCTGCATTAGCTAATCTTTCAACAGGGTGCTTGGGGCCGCTTAAGGCCCTTATCACATTCATCATGATTTTTTTAAGTTGTAGTGAGAAGCATTGTTGTAATTTGAATGCATAGGTAGTAGAAAGGTGACATTTTGCCACTACTACATAAGTACAATTTTTACGGTTTTTCGAACTTGGAGGGTGATTAAGTTGCCATGAGTCGTATTCTGATGTCTTATAGAATTGGAAGATAACATTGAATTTGACTTTGTTGAATTGTTGGGTCTGTAAAAAAAGATTTAAATTTATTATTTAATGAAGATTTAAAAGATTTAAATTTAATTTTGTAACATGCTGATGAAAGCAATCAATTTTTAGATCGCGATGTATGTCATCGTTGAGCAGCTCCTATTAAACAGTTGGCGTGAAAGATATTGGCCATATTGCATAAAAGAGAATATAAACAAAAAATGGAAGGAAATATATATATCTTAATTAAAGATTTAATGTAATTTTTCTAATATCATCGTCAATTTGAATATAATAAAACAAATATTAAAATTGCAAATTATGTTAAAAATTTATGTACAAGCTAGTTCCTTTTTTAAGTACTTTGTTGAAAGTCCATGTTCCACAGCTTAATGATTAATTTTTTACTTCTATTGGAATTGTTTTAGATGTTTTTTTATGTTCCATCTCTATTATTTGTCAAAACTGGTGACTAAAAGGCTTTCGTATTTTTTTTTTCTTTTGTGGTAGTGTTTCTGATGCATCTTTTATCGCATAGCAGGCATTAGGTAAGACTCATTTATTTTCTATCAAGTTGGCAATTACAGTTTTTAATGCTTCTTAACTTATACCCGATAAAATGGACAAACATTTTCCCTTCAGCTTTCTTTGCTGAATCAAAATGATTTTAATAATGTATATCGCTTTTTCCACACAAAACTCCTATATTTAAAGCGGCAATATATATATATATATATATNCAATATAGTTGGAAGAACAAGTGATTACATTTTCGGGATATTTGGAAGTATAGATCCTGAGTAATCAATACTCAGAGCATCCTCTCCTGGCAGCAATAACACCAGTTATTGTCCTAGGAATAAAAGTTTTTGCAGAGTGGATAGCATGGATGGGTACAGCAATCCATGCAGCTTCAACATTATGCCACAATTCATTGACCGTAGTGATTGACGAGTGGTGGCGTGCAAGTCGTTCAGCAACCATTGATCAGTTGTTTTCAATTGGTGAGAGATCAGAAGAATGTGGTGGACAGGACAACAGGCGAACATGTTCTCTGTCAAGGAAGGTCAGGACAGTGCGGGCAGCATGCGGTCGTGTATTGTCCTGCTGAAACGTAGTGTTATGGAGGCCTCGAAGATAAGGCAGAGCAACTGGCCCTAACTCATCAGAAATGTAACGCTGCTGTTCAAAGTGCCGGCAATGCGAACAAGAGGGGATCCAGACGTGTATCTAATGGCACCCCACACCATTACTCCAGGTGATGAGTCAGTATGGCAATGTCGAATACAGGCTGCCAACCCGTTATTTTTAAAGCAGACTAGTGTGTATATATATATGTTTATAAGCGTAGGTCTGCTAACTTCCTATGCTTTTTGAGAAAATTTCTTCAAGTTGTAGATAAATTTTACGGTATTATTCTTTATTTTGTAACTTGGATTTAAAGTTATTTTCCATACCACTTAATGCAAATAATTTAAAAGTTTATAAAAAATGGTACTTTATTCCAGTTCTCTCGTAGTAAAGTTTTTTTTTATATGTTGGCAAAATTATCAAGCATTCTGAAAGATTTAGTTTTTAACTGTCTACCAAGCTGTCAAATATCTTGCAAAAAAAACTTACTTTTGGCAGGCCTGTACATTTTTTATTCTTATATTCGCAGTGAATTTCCAAATTAGTTCTTCAAATGAATAGCATTTTTATAAAAACCTTTATTCCAGTATTTAAGAACGTGATATTTTGACTAATTGACCTTTTATATATTTCTTTAAATAATTTTTAAGCGGTTGTGGAATTTATTTTTTTTTTAAATTTTATTCATTAAAATATCAAGGAAATATTTCCGTTACCGTAAGGAAAACTATTTTTAGAATCTACGGACACTCCGTAGAAGTTATAGAATATGAGATGGAAAAAACTTCGTTAATTTTGCATACATCCATTGATATTATAAAAAAACAGCAGTATAACCGATATTTGAAAATTAACGAAAAAAATCCTCACAAGTAGAGCACGTGATTAGTTTCTCAATTAACATTTTTTCTAACTGTTATTTTATCAGTTCTCTCTTTAGTCCTTTAGACTAACATAATTGTTTTAAGCAAGAATATTTTATACAATATAATACGAAATACTACTTTCGCACTATGTCATTAATGCGTATCCTTGAATTTTATCATAGATAAAGTCTTACTTTTTAACCTGTAAGCGAAAAAGATATAAAGTTAATTTGCATGACTTAATCTACATAATTATATCTAGAATACTTTTTACAGAGTTAATCTAAATGTTAAATAACGGAACATTAATAATGATTTTTTATGATATGATCTTCTAAGAACTTGTTTGTCTATAGTTAATATTCGTGTTTTTACCCCAATTTCAAACTCCAAATATTTTTTTTTAAAAGAACAAGTACCACTTTTTTACTACCACTTCGCATTCCAAACAAACGAAGAAATAATGTAAATCACCTCATTTCAGATTTTCATTCAATGGTTATGTCACAGCTGCTAATATAGAATACTTGCTGCAGGAACATAAAAATTTTTAACTTTTTTTAACTTGGAAAAACTGGTCATAACTGGATATAAATTAGAAAAAACCAACATTCGCAAATGAATTCAGAAAAATATTTTCAGAAAAATATTTTATAAAATGGTAGAATATTAACCATTGAAATTTTCTTAATTTTGATTGATTGGTGATAACTCTTTAAAAGCCTTCCGCGTATGGTACAAAGAAGAATTTTATACAGATGTTCAATTAACACATTGCGAGCAGGTCACGTAAAAATACGTTTCTGAAATGTCTACAATCCACACAAAAATTTAAAAAGTGGTAGCAAGACTAACTCTTTTCCGCTCTGCTTTTCACAAAGAAACTATCTATTCGTGATTACCACAAATATTAATGATTCAGTATATAAGTAATCAGTACTACAATCACTACTCGTAATTTTTTCTTAATTGAAGTTGTAGTTATAGAAACAAGTTTGTTCCTGCTTTTATGAAATATCGTTTACCACCTTTTTAAAATTTTAATTTCTAATAGCTGTGTAATACATTTTTAAAAAAAGTTTCCAGGAATTGCTCAAAAATTAAGAAATGCCTTCTGCGGGGGATCATCGGGGAAATATCTCAATCCCAGTGAGTTCTATTTTTATTTTCAAGACTCTCAAGTTAAATTCACTGAACTTTTCAAAGCAGAATTTTACTTAAGTTAAATTAAATTATATTAAGATTTATTTTCTGATAATATAGCCAATTTATGCATATATATTTATCAACTTATGCACGATAAATTATTTCGCAAATTGTATTTTATTTAATGAGCAATATTTCTTTGATAAAATATATTTACTGCATTTTCTCCAAATATGTTATTTTATCATGTATCAAGGTATGATTTCTCTATATTCATCAGTTATGTCTTTCATTTTTCAAAAATCAGTATTGTACATATCAAACCATGTTTTATCCTTATTTTTAATTTAAGTCGACAATCAGTATTTCTATTGTTATGTAAAAACGTCAATTTGTCATACTGAATTTTTTCATTTTTTTATTATTTCACAAGCAAATGGCTTGATTTTTTTATGGCTACCACAATGTTTGCCAAATCAATGTATTTTACCTTACTGTATGTAGTTTAATGATGAATGGGATAGGTGCCCAGTTTATTTAAAGAAAGAAAGAAGAAGAAAGTTTCCCGCGTGTAATATGTTCACACTTGGGAATAAAATTTTTGAATTACTGCGACTGCTTGATGTTACCTAATTCGAATGTGGGTATTTCAAATCTAAAATTAGTTTTGATTGCGAAAGCTAGAGTTTTTTTTGAAAATAATATTATTAGTTTAGTTTATTTTTTGTTTTAATGTACAAGATTATAAAGAACGTATAGGCTTATACGGGGCTGCTAACTAATACGTTTTTTGTGAAATATTTTATAGAGTGGTAGACAATTAAAAACTAAAGTTTTCAGAATTTTTGGTAATTATGACATTTTTAAAAACTTTGCCTCGAAAAAGCTGGATTTAATATAAACTTTTTAATCGTTTACATGCAGAGGTGTAGAAAATTACTTTAAATTAAATATCCAAAACAAAAATGTTAACTTGAAACATAAACTTAACTAGCACTTGAGGAAATTGTTCCAAAAAGGGTAGAAACATAGCAATCCTAGGTTTATAAACATGCATATACACTTGTTTGCTTCTTTAAAAGTAACATTTTTAGTTCATATCAAAGACAATTACGTCAATAGATCATATAATCAGCAAACATTTCACCCACAGATTATATCAACGAGGCCAGTTCAACGACTCGATCATTTCACCGGCAGCTCACTTCGCCGATAGAATCATTTTGCCATCATTTCGCCGATACAATCATTTCACCAATGCAATCAATTCGCCAATACAATCATTTCGACAACAGCTCGTTTCGCCGACATGATCATTTCACTTTTGATTTATATATTCAGGCAAACGTTCTCAATAATTTTTATTTTTACTCTGAGAAAGTTTTGAAATTGTTTAACTTTTGAAATTAGTTATACATTTAAATAACTTACTCAAACGTTTGGTTCTAGAACCTGGGAAAGTACTAGCTGAATACCTGTTCTCCATACGGGGTGTAAAAATTAAGCTATCTATAGATCAATACAGAATAACACTACGTAGTGCATAAAGCTGAAAGACAAATACAAACACAATGAATGAAACTAAAAGAATTCCTTTTTTTGTCTATTAATATAGTCTATCCTTCTTTTCAGTTTTACTTTATTAGATTAAGTTAAACATGGTTTTAGTGGTTCATCTCATTAAATAACGATGAACTGTTAATGTCTATTTGAAAAACGGAACACCCTGAATTTGATCTAACGATTTCATAAATTTGATTTTTTGGTATAGTGATCGCATCCTTACGTACAAGGGCTCAATCTTATGTAAGGTTTGCAAATATTTATATCATTTTAAAGAGTAATTTTATATGGCAAAACACAAAATTGGTCGAAAGAAATTCCTGAGAAACCGAGTTTCATGTATGAGACTTTTTAAAAGTTCGAATTCTCAAGAACTATTAGACCGATTTCTGAGAACATTTAAACTGTCCACGATATTTAAAGTGCATATAAACAGAAATAATGAAATTGGCAAATGCTTTTAACCCGTTCGTGAAACCATGCTGCTTCTTTTTTTTCCAAAAAAGAAAAAAAGCAATAGCACAAATGCACAATTATTCGGTTTTATTTTCAGAAACAAGATTTTTGTCATAATCATAGTCTGTAGTTGCTCAAGACTTTTAGGACTCAAAGGAGCCTTTTACCTTTTCTTAATGATTTACCAAATCACGTGTTAGGTTCAGGATGAAAAGAATAAAAAGAATAAAAGATAATTTTAATTTAAAATTTTAAAATTGCTCTGTCAAACATGATATATTAAATATATAAATATTTATTTTAGGATTTAAATCAAAGCATAGTGCTTTTTTTAAAGAAAATTAAATGATATCTAACATCTAAGAGCATAGACAGAGACTCTTTCACTAGGTGACCTCAGATGCACAAAAAAATTTAAAAAAATTTCCCAAAGAGCATAAAAACTACTCTAAAAATTGGCTTCCTACAAAAACTGAATGCGGTGAGTCTACAAATTTTGCAAATTTATATAATTGTTGGTTGTGCCTTTATTAATGATATAAAAATAAATTTAAAAATATTTCATTTCAAGTAATTGAACTAAAACTTTTTTCACAAATCTTTATTTCACATTTTCACAACAAAAGCAGAACGCACATTTTCACAACAAAAGCAGAACGCACATTTTTTTAAATAAATCTTTCTGTTTACAGAACAGTAACATTATTGCACAAATTTTGAATGACAGCTACATAAGATTCGACTTTAAATCCTATTTTACTCAAAATAGCTAGACTAGAAAAGAAACATTCCTCAAGCAATATTTCTCCGGCGTTTTCCAAATTAAATATTAAAATTAAATTGGAATTTTGCTTGAGCCAATTTAACAAATACATTACTCATGCACTTTTCAAGTTTTAACAACCTTTTTCATCTTCTCTCTTTAACATTTAAATATACTCTCTATTACTATAAATCTCAATTAAAATAAACCACAAATAATACTTACAATTTAACAAATTTGAGAAACTAAATGAAGCGAATAGAGATGATAAATATTAAAGGATAAGTATTTTGCAATTGATTCAGATTAATTCCTAACTAGTATTCAAGTAATTACTTTAAAAAATAGGAAAATATTAACTCTCTATACTCAACAAAAAGTATAAATAAATTTTTTATTAAAATTTAAAAATATTTATAAAAATAAATTACTTTAAATTAAGTTTATGCTTTGTTAATGCTTCTTCTTGGGCATCTTATGTATAATCATTTAGTTTTAAGAACGATTGTCATGATATTAAATTTTTTTAATGGTTATTTTTACTAAAATTTAATTTAATCAGGAATTGACAGATAATACTAAATATAACCCTTTCATGACATATGAAAAAATATTTTAGAATCACGACTCATAATTTTACAGTGGTCTAAATAACTCATACCCCCTGACAATTTTATCTTTTTACTTTCCCGAGGACTTTCGTTCGTTCGTTACAATAGGGACTGACATAGTTTTAAAATTTGTAAGAGCTCTGCATCGTAAGAATGAAAGAAAATAGCTAAGAAGCTGGAAAAGGTCAGAAATTTCAGAAATCCACTTCGGCTCATAGAGAATTTAAATAAAACAAGTTCTTTATGTTTCAAAATTCTTTAAACTAAATTGCATTGTAAAGGAGCTTACTGTTTTAACACTTCAAACCATTTTACAATTCAAACTAGACCGAAAAGCACTTAAAAAGAGGAGACACACAAGAATAAGTTGACAGATTGGAAAGCGAAACAAAAAAGGAAAGCAATTCAATAATTGGTAGAATCGACACAGTCACAGAATTTTTACGTCCATAAATAACAAATAAAAGGCAACAGTGGCAACACATTCGAGGAAGAAGAACACACAAAGTTTTTAAAGCTAAGACCCAACAAGCTGATCACCAAAGGAAATCACCAATTATTTCTATAAGTTTGGTACTTAAAGAAGTACAGGGGCACCACCACCGTATGCAAGAGGCAAAGGTCCTGGAGCTGCTACTGCGACTGGAGCTGGTGCATATGCAACTGGACCAGGGGCACCACCAATAGAATAACTTTGTAATCCTAGAAGAAAAGAGATTATCATTTAGAAACTAAATCTCTATCCACTAAATGTCCGAAGGACTGTATACAGCCACAGGTGTCTAGATAAATGTTAACTCTTTCGCACCGTCACAAATATATGACGGCATGAAACGTTGTCAGTATAAACCAGATTAAACAGGTAACCAAACTAATTCTTTAACAGTTTATTTATAAACGGGGTTGTAATAGTTTGATTTACGGACGGTGTTATAATAGTTAAAAAATAACTTCAATGTCTCTAATCTGCTTCCCAAATACCACTAAGAAAAATCTTCAGTAAAAATCATAATAGTTGGCAACTATGAAACTTAATAAGCAAGCTGTGATATTTTTAAGTGTTGTTGAAATTTTAGAAACATTAGTTTGTTTGATTGTTATTAAGTTACCACCATAAATTATATGGAGCTTCCGGGTATGCAGATTTGTATGTGTTGCATTAAGTGGTTGAACTTTTAGTTTTGCGAAAAACTTAATCTGTCGAACTATTTAGCAAATGTTGTTGTTGAAATATTGGTCTGTTGAGCACAGTTCAATTGAAAATTGATTTCAATTGATTTTGTTTTTGAAATATATTACAAAAACTGTTATAATATACAATTTAAGCATCATAAACGAATAAAACCAGCTAATTAACTTGCGAATTTGCGCAAGGAACTAAAATAAGTTCACTCCAATATCTTAAGTTTACATTTTTTCGTTTAAAATTATTAGTTTTTAAAAGTTTGGAGCAACTAATAATTTAAATCTATACATTTTACTGTAAATCCCTACAAACATCTTTGAAGCTTTTTAAACTTTTAATCATATCATGAGTAGTTTGGAAAAAATCACAACAGAATTTTTAGTATTTGTAAATGTTTATGATTAAATTATTAATAATTTTAGTTAAAGTGAGTAAATTGAGATTTATCGCCTATTATTCCAGTAAGAGTGAAATTTATTTTTTCTAACATGCAATAAGTATTCCTCCTTCACCATTGATTCAAAAAGAATTTTCTTCCTCAACTTAATTTATCTTCACAAATCAGAAGATTAGAGTACCCTGATATTTAAGTTGAGCTTTTAACACTGGAAAACGAAAATTTCTCATTGATACTTTATTCATTATACCTTTTTCGCTTAAGACATGATATTTAGTTCTGTGGCAGTTAATTCTGCCCTTTTTTTCTTATTTTTGAATTTATGTTTCAATTTATAAGAGACAAGAACTAAAATGAGCAATTACTTAACCCAGCTATTCCCAATTTACTTTGGCTATGGGACGTTAAATGATCAACAATCTTTCGACGAAACCCCAACTTCATAACTTAAAGTATTTAAAGTAATTATATAAAGACAATTGTGAACGTATTAACCTACAAGAAACTGCTTCATTTTAAAAATATTTATTAAGATGAACAGACTGTTTTATCATTAATCTTTAATTAAATTTTATATCCGACAGTTGGATTCATTGAATCTACTCTTGTTAAAAATTTGCTTTGAATGTATACGCGTAAGCTAAAAATGAATGGAAAAAAAAGCCGAATTACTATTTTCGTAGAAACGAAAACTACTAAAGAAACGTTGAAAATTGCTAGTAGGGTAACATATCTCTTTATTGTGAATCTAGTTATTTTATCTTAGTTTGAAAAGTGCGGTGAGAAGTACTAGTGCAATATTTTATAAATGCATGTCCCTTTCATAGTTTATTCAATACATTCATAGTTCATTCATTTTCCATAATTTATTCATTTCATATTATTTGAAAAATCATGCATTTTTTCCGAAAAAAATTTGCACTTTATTTTTAATTGGTATTTTACTTTAAATAATGATACAAAGGCAATCAAAATATTGAGTAAAAAATACATTATAGATTGGATCTAAATTTAATTACAGGTTTCAAATATAAAATGAGTTATACTATTCAATTTACAACGATAATTGTTTTAATTTTCTTCTAATGCATTTTTTTTACCTCAATAAATTTGTTGCTTAATGTAGAAATAACTATTGCTAATTTTGAGTGAAAAAGCAATAGGTTAAATCATCGGCTCCCGAATAGTGTCCCACGGAACCCTAGAGTTCCATTAGGCTATAAGAAGTTCCAGATATGCTTACCCTCATCGGCACTAGAAGAAATAGAAACATCAGCAGGTGCTTGGTTACTGGTGCCTGGCTCGTTTGTAATGATGTTGGCTCGGAAACCTAATTCATCAGCCACGTACTCAACAGTTCTGGAACGACCGTCTTCATCAGTTACAGAATAAGAACCAGTGACTCTTCCTTGTCCGTCACCAGATTCCTGATGTGAACTTTCACCTCCAATAGATGGAGCACTATAGCTGTATTGGTATGGATTTGGAACACCATCATATGGCTAAAATAGAAAAATAGGTCTTTACCACTTTACGATTAGCGTCCTTAAAAAAAGTTTTACAGAAACGAGGCAGTTCGGCCTATTCAGTTTGTTTTTAGTTTTTCAGTTTGTTCTGTTGTAGTTACTGTTTGTGTGTATATAACTGTTTACAACCGTGGTGGCGTATGGAGATAAAGCGCCTCCCAATGAGCTGAACCGGGTTCGAATCCCAGCGATCGCTCGTCGATACGAATTCCGCATCCGGCTTGCACAGACCACAATTTTGACGTAAAATATCCTCAGTGGTAGACGGATCATGGGTTAAGGGTTAAAGTCTCCCCGCCGTCAAGCTAACCGTGATAGATTTTCGTTGTTTTCCTCCCCATGTTACGCAAATGCGGGTTGGTTCTATCAAAAAGTCCTCCACGAAGGAAAATTTCCCCCAATACGTAATCCATGAGTTCCCTTGTCTTCTGGATTGGGTTCAAAATTACAAGGCTGTGGAGTTGAACATTGGTAGTAGTAAAGCCCCCGGATGCCCCTTTACGGGGGCGGGACGAGCTTAAGCTTGTTATTGGTAGTAGTAAACCCTAAATTAGAATGGCTGTTCAACGACGGTTATAAAATAAAATAAAATACATGTATACTGATATGTAGCATACAAGTTATTGATATAGTTCAGCCTCATTTCTGTCTACCATTATATATTATTAATGCTTTCATCTGCAGGAAATGGACACTTGATTTATGCTTATATGTAGCACTCTTTTTTTATACGGGAGCTTTTTACATTATTATAACATTTGCAGGCCTCCATAAATAAGAATGGCAGAAAAATTTACATTATGAAATAAGATTCTCGCAAAGTCACCCTTAGAAGTCACCTTTTTTTTTTTTTTTTTTTTTAAAAATAAAGTAATTNTTGTTAAAATTAACCTGCATTTCCGTTACAAAGAAAAGAAGGAAAACGACTAGTTCAACAATAAAATATTCTTCTGAAATAGTTTCCTTTGCTGAGAATAAAATATAAACTTTTCAAAATTTCCGAAAATTTTATTCCAATGTAAAATATGGATGAAAAATAATTAAAGTTAAATTTTTTAAATTATAAATTTTTTTCCTTACTAATAGCGATTTATTTGTGAATGTAAATTAAATAACCATTCATTTTTTATTCTCAAATGGAAAGTGGAATTAAATGTGATTTTTAATAATCTGGTGGACACATATTAAAGCATTAACTATTGTTTATATTAGTGCTAAGCATATACTTACACTTCCGATTGGATATTGTGCTTTAGCAAGAACGACGCAGAAAGCAAATAAGAAAACCTAAAACAAAAGACATTTAAATAAAAATAATTATCAAAGCTTCGAAAAAGCATGAAATGAAAAAAATAAAATTTTTATTTTATAATTTATTTTTGAATCAGATGAATAATTTGTTTTAAAAAACAAGTCTAACTGTATGAACCTTGAAACCCTACGCTTTAAGAGCTATTGTAAAAAAAATTAAAAACAAACAGTCAAATTACAGTAGCAATAAATATTCTCATTATTGCTGTTAATTTGTAAAATAAGCAAAACCGTTTCTGGCAATTTAGTGAAAAAGGTTGAATTTTTTAAAGCTTTTTAATAACAGTAAGCTTTTGAAAGGGATGCAGCACAATGTTAAGCATCGTTTAAATAGTATAATATTATATAGTATAATATAGTATAGTATAATATAGTATAGAGAGAATAATATTTTGTGAAAAATGTCAAAGGATCTGATCAAATGAATTGAAATGAATTTCATTGAATATTCATGGCAATAAAATTTAAAACTAATTTTAACTCATAATTTCTATTTTCTAATATTTAAGCTTTTCCTTATATCATTCAAAATACATGTTAATTATTTTATATTTGTTCATATTTTATAGCTCTAACAAAATAATTTTCTTCGGCATCAATAATAAAAATTCATTTAATTATAATATAAAATTCGTTACATTTTGCAATCACAAAATTTCTGAACGAAAGAAACAGGTTACAGAACAATTTAATTGATTTTTATTGGATGTGGTTATAAAATAAACTCAAATCTATCTATTGCTTATATAAAGCATACTTTCTTCCACATCATTACTTTTAATTATAGTCATATATTTAAATTACAAAAATTATTGCATAAAACTTCTAATTTAAAGAAAAATATTAATAGATTGTTTAATCAGTTTTCATTAGATATTGCTATAAGATAAACATAATATATCAACTTAATGACATAAATAAACTTTATTTTTAACTTATAAACTATCAAAATATCTAATCAACTATCGACGTAACTAAATTAACGTACTTTCATAAAATAAACTTTAAATCAACGTATTTTCAAAAAACGAACTTTATCGATACTTTATATTATAAAAAAATGTCCTTCTGCATTAATCGCATAAAAATTCATATTATTATATTACAAAAGCTATTTCATTCACTCAATCGCTATAATCGTAAACTAGAAAAAGGACATAATAATACTTGTTATGATAATTTACTTTTAAAAGTCTTAACAAAACCTTATAAAATAAACTTTACATCAAATGTTATACCTTAAGCATTTTGTTGGATGTTAGAATACCGAAAAAGAGGATTATTTTGGATGCGAGAAACTGTTGAGAACAAGTTGCGTCTGACAATTTTGTGACATTTGCATGCTTTTATACTCGAAATATATGTGACAAATTGTTCTATATCACGTACAGCTTTTGATATTTTTGCGCCCGCTAAGACACAGAATTACAATCAAGTTCAAAAACGTCAAACGCGATTAAATATTTAAAATATATAAACTCTATTGTGCAACTTGAAACTGTTAGACCAAGGTAGTCTTGCTGGCTTGGTGAAAGAACTAGGCCGAGGAACGATGAGTTCAAAAAAATTCGAAAATTCCTTTTTCGGTTTTTATTAATACGTGTAAACTTACCTTTCAGAATTTTCGCTTTGTATTGGCATATTCGCGAGGAGCTTTTTTATATCTTTGTTGTTTTCATTCAGTTTTTTCAAGAGAAAAAAACAATCAGAGAAGTTTAAAACGTGAAGAAGATTAGCATGTCCTTAAGGCACTTCTTAAAAACGAAAAAAAGTATTTTGGAAGAGTGAAATAAGAACGTGATCTTGATTCTAATTGTCCTGTTAATTATGCATTCGTGTTTAACTGTTTAGTAATCCATTTAAATTAAGAAGGAAAATTACTTTAAAAATTTTCATTTGAGAAAATTTTACTCCACCAATAATGACGTCTTAAACAAGAATGCAGTATATCCAATTTTTGTCATTTTGAATTTTTCTTTCAAACTAGGAGCCTAATAAAGAGAAAAACGATAGATGCTGAAAATAGAAGGTACTACCTTTTTGCTTGGGAAGACAGAATAATCAATACTGTCTCGATTAGCAGCAATTGTAAGCAAGGCATGATGAAAAATATTTCATGATATTACGGGGCAAAAACATTATCCACGAATGAAAAAACTGTATCAATTTATGAATTAATAAAACATAGTATAAATCTCTTGTTTGCTGTACTGTGATAATCTAATACAACAATAATTTTATGTTTTTTTTAAACGGAAGAAGAAGAAAGTACTTAAATAACAAAACGGCAATGAGAATAAAACCGGCAAAAATCTGTGTATTTCTGCATTTCCATTTTTCACAAACTGGTCCAATTATTTTGTATTTTCATTTCTTAACACTAATCAAAAATTTCTTAGTTTGCTTAAAATCTAATTTCAATAAACTATTTTTTTTTTCTAAAATGTTGCGAATATTCTTATTAATATTTATTTTTTTTCGTTTTTATTTGTTTTGCCTCCTTCCTGTTACTTATATTTTTTCGCAACGTGTTTATTAACTCGCGTTCGTGCCTGCGTGAATGAAATGTTTCAATCAAAATTTCAACTATTATCTGACTAGATAGAGCACTTAAATCTTTTCTGGAACTCCGCATCTCATGACAATGTACATTACAATCATTACTTGTTTACTGCAAGCAGATTTATTACCATTTTATTGCTAAATAGAAGTTTTCGTCAATCAAACTCTGATAATTTTTTGACAAAGTAGAGTGCTCTTATCTCACCTGCAGCTCCATGCTTAATAAAAACACACGCTTCAGACGTTTCTTGAGCTCAACAAGCAGTATTTACCAAAATTCATTGCAGTCAAAGGAGCTCCAATTTTATTTGAAACTCTGTGCTGAATGAAAATACAAGCTCCATTCGTTTCCTGAACACTGCAAGATGCAAGAAGAATTAATCGTCAATAAGAATTTTGTCCACTTCTCAACTAGCTAGAATGCAGCACTATTTTCAACTGAATCCCTTCGTCTGATACCAATACAAGTTACCATTTTTTATCTAAACAGGGTAAGCAGTATGTAATGCTATTTCCTTTTCGTTTAATGAAGCTTATTTGACCATTATTTCGACAAATTAATCGAGACAAAACTAAAAATAATAACACATTTAAAAACTACGTTGTCCAAGCTAACTAAAAACAGGAGAATATTTTTTTCTTTGTCTGACCTACTGTTTAACAATAAAAATAGTGTTCATCGCTTTTGTAATGAACTTACCACCAAAAATTCTCCTCAACCCCTTTAAAAGTGATGAACTTAATATTAAGAGTGACAAAAAAATTAATTTTTACTTTTTATTCTGTTTGAAAAACATAATTTAATTTTTTATTACTATTTAAATTTTATTACAAAACATTCATTTTTTTATTTTTTTTATAATTTCTTAAATTGCATACATTAATTATAAAACATATATGTGCCATCTAAATGAGCAATAACTGTTACTACTTTTAACGATAACAATTTCAAAAATGCAAGAAAAGTTTAAGGTAATAAAACTAAATTTTCAGTCAACATTAGAATATTAGAACTTTATTTTTACGTTTTCTCCGTTACAATGAAAAATGCAATCTCCATATTTCGGAGGTGCATTCATGCTCGGAAAAAAATTAAGAGTGATGCATTACGATGACATGACTGTTTTTTTAAACACATTTCGTTTTTAAATGCTTATTTCCGATCAGAGTTTTTGTAACTTTTTATAATTGGTAGATTAAACGAGGTAGTTTAAAAACATTACATGGCTTCTAGAGTAGCTTTCATTTTCCTTGCAATGCCATGTAAGAGGGCAGCTTGACCGACAGGCATTTTAGTGAGTATATTTTCAGTCAACAAAGCCCATATAGTATTAGCTGTGAATTTTGTTTCAATGTTGGTACACCTCGTGTTATAATGAAAATGCCAAACCTCGGCCTCACACCAAGCTTGATCGGTATTGGTGGCTTCATCAAAATATCCCTTCTTCACACAAGAGAAGGTTAAAGAAGAGTTTTCGTCACGTGATCCAGCACACACTGCATCCTCTTGTTCTAAAAAGAAGGTAATCATTTCAGCTTCTCCAATCCATTTGGTGTCGATATTCTGGAACGCAGATGAAGAGAGTACATGGTATTTATTTTCATCAAAAACGCATCCTCCAGGTAAAGCAAGGCCATTGCCATCGATAACTAAAACAACATCTAAGTATTTATGAAGAGTGACAAATTCTATATCTTGCCACCTTGTGATGACAGCAAAAATGTGATGATTGGGTCCCCAGCGACAAAGACTGCCCCTTCCTCTTAAGCCTGTTCGTCCAATGGGATTTTTAGGTAATTGTTCTGAGTCTAGCTCATACATTAATGGCACCTTAAATTTAGTAAGCATCCATGACTGGCGATCAAAACAGACACCCCCTGGATTTATGGTGCAAGTATTAAACTTAAAAATGGGCATTTGGAAATGATCTCCCTCTTTCTCTCGCTTTAGCTGAATGTCAACATCAACATGTATTCTCAGCTCTTTAGGAAAGTCTTCAATGGGTATGGTATAGGCTATAGGATCATAAAAAGTCCAACTACTATTCCACGAAACATTCTTATCTGAAACAGGAAATCGAAGAATATTAGTTCCAGGATATGGAGATGTTCTGGAAAATATTTGTGGTACTTGTTTGAAATTTAGCTTTTCTCTCAAGGGAATTTTCAAGCTGCTACATACCAAATGTTTGTGTGTATTTCTGACAAGAATTTGAAGTTCTGTTAAATAGCCTTGCAACTCATTCATGATTCGCTTTTGTTCCTTAAGCCTAGCTCTCAACATAAATGTGTATTTCATTCGTTTCATTTCTTCATGTTTACTTTTCTTGCTTTTTTCGATAAAATATTCACCCGCTAAGCTTTTCCAAATCTTATAATCTGCTTCGTGGAATCGAATTTTACTGACTTTGGTTTTTCTTCTAAACAAGGTTCCAAAAGTACAAGCGAAGATATGAACAGCATAGTTTAAAGGACTTAATGGAGGAGGTAGAACAAAACGATTTTTGAAATCCATAATCACTTCATATCTTCTCCACGTCCAAATATTTGATCCTTTTGAATCTAACTTTCTGGCAGTGTAACGAAATAACACATAGAGCAATGTGATCAGAATCAGTTTTAGAATAATAAAATACTGAAAACCAAGAATATAAGGCCATATTCCAGGATTAGGGCATTCCGGTTTGTTATACCTACCGACTTTACAAATATCTTTCGGTAATCCTATGAAACTTAAGCCCTGCCTCTTTAATTGAAAGCATTTAGAATCAGGAATTCCAAAGTCATCGGGAACATGAGGAATGAGAAATAATGCTGTAAGTAAATTGTAAATTATTCGCCCGCCAAGCTTCAAATTGAACGGATAATCTGGATAAACTATAGCATGCACTGCAATTCCATTTCCTATCATTACTAAAACAGCAAATCTCATAAATCCCATGAAATCGATTAAAATCATTCTTTTAATTCTCCATATCAAGCTTCCTAGTTCAGATGATATCGGAAAATACTGAAAAGTGAAGCGGTAATAAAAGTATAACAATGCTAAGCACAGCATTGCTTTTGTATTGTATGATGATAAAAATGACAATTGTAATATTAATCTGTTAGCCGTGTAGCATGCAAGAAAAACCGTCAGTGAAATGATATCGATTACTTTACGTCTTAATACCATGCTAGGATACTGCAAGAAAATATACTGGTGCACTAAGTCTATTAACATCATTAAAGTCCAAATACACATGGCAAAGTCTAAATAGGGATTTCCACAAGCTGGCCATAGCACAGCTACGCTGAAGACAAATAAATACATAAAGTGAAAAACAATATTAATCCAAAATTTTGAAATAGGAGCTGTGTATAAGTAATAAATTTTTTTAAAAATAGTTACATTTTTCTCGGCATCCGAAAAATTACCGTTTACAGATCGCTTGACTGAATCATGAAATTTCGTGTGGTATGAGCTTTCAGACAGATTTGTCGATTCAAATTTGATCCATAGAAGCATAGGAAAGATGAAAAATGTGCATAATATTAATTTTAACCATTGTGGGAGAGTTACGTCACCATAACGAAGGTTTACTATGTTTATATTTCCCATTAGCACGCAGTCCAAGTATTTTTGGCAACAAGGATGGGCCAGGAAATATCTATTTTTAGCAAAAGCTGCAGTTTCGATAAGTGGTTTGTAAGACCAAACTGAACTCTTTGCACATAACACTGCAAGAGCTCTGCAGGGTACTTTGTCGTAGCAATAACTTAGCAATTGTATCGCTGTCTCCGATAACATCTTTGATTGTTGAGATATATCTTCTTGCATATTCAAGTCCACAACAAATGTTTTCAGTCTGTTAAATACTGCAGAACAGACCACTGCCAAATATATAGGTTGTTCGGAGTAATTCAAAAGGATTTTCACCAAATCACTGCGATATGACAAAACAGCCCAGAGTGTAAGTACAGAAATCGCTCTTCTTTCTGATTGGTCTTCTTTTAATTCATCACCAACCCCACAATATATTTGGCGACAATTTATTAGGTCCGGAATGCTTGTAAATTTTTCGAGCAGATGCGACAGTTTGTGCTCGATGGCATATCCTGGAATTTTTACTGTGGACCTATATCCAAATATAGTTTCCCATACAACAGATCTAAAAAACATTTCTTTCAGGGAGTTTTGAAACAAACTTGATAAAACTTGACTATTGATAAATTTCCGAACTTTAAAACCATTTTTAAGAAACATGGCTATAAATTGTTCTCTTTCTGGTTTGACTAGACACTTAAAAAATATCTCATTATCAATTTTAAAACCATTATCCTTATAAAGTATTTCAGACTTGGCAACATCGGGATTATTCCAATTCATAGTTAACAACAAATCTTCTCTCATGTTATGCGAATCAAAGATAAAATCATCTGGGCGGGAATTAAAGGAAGCCTTTAGCAAATAAGAATTTAAAGGAATTGAGTCATCTTCCAAATCAAAACGATTAAGAACTGTTATGGTTTCTCTACCATGTTGATAAGAACATCGAATACAGTTTATTATTTTCATGAAAATTTCTTGTTTTAATGTTTTACTAAGGGATCCATCAGGACAAAGCTTATCCCATTGCTCTAAAAAAAGAGGTTTTATCACTGTCTCACAATATTCGCCAAGGTTAATAGAGTCATGAAAATTTCGAATTTGGCTGTATGTGAAAGATATCAAATCAGCCAGTCCACCACTGCCTTTCATCACTATCAATGGCAAGCCTTTTTTAATGAGTCCCAAAATCATGTCCATATCATTTAACTCGCCATGGAATAATATGACTACGACAGGAATTTTCTTCCTTGAAATGTCTTCCCGTGAGTCATCATTCAAAGAAATACGACCTTCGCTGATATGACTTAAAAAACTCAACATAAAGTTTGAGACCCCTTGCTTCACTTTGTGAGCATCCTTCAAAAATACATAGCAGTCAAAGTTTTCATTTATGTCTTTTTTCAAGCCTTGCTGTTTTTCTAAATCCTCCCTCATAAACTCAATTTTTTCAGATATTCTCAAGGCGTCCAATCTATGGATGCCAATCAAAGCTGCTTCGGGAAAAGCGTATCTGTTTTTTTGCCTGAAGAATACTTTTCGTCTCGAGATTTCATTTTTGAAAGCCTCACCCAACTCACTTGTGAACCCTTCATCTAACCCATTCGTGCATAACCATGTTTCAGTAGTGTTTAAAGTCGACATTAAACCTTTTATTAGGAGATGTCCCAACAAACGACATTCCTCCGATGTATCAAGCATTTCTTCAGTGCTGGCATCTAAAAATAAAACTACTCGTGGAGTCTTCCAGTTGTTGTTGGCGAGTAATTTAGAGAAGATCTTCGCTGTATCAAATGTCGTACAAGATGACAGCAAAAAGGGTATGTGCTTAGTCCCTACATGCAAGAATCCATTATCAATATCATCATCATTGTGTGATATTTTATTAAACGATTCGAAAGGATCTTGTGGTGCACCGCTTGTTTGCATTTTAAGCCAAGAAATATTACGACGTCATTTTTTTAATTCCGAATATTGTTTATGCCGATATATTTTTTTTCGTATTCTGAACTGTAAAGGAACGATGTAAGCTTTCTTTTTGCTTCATCAAATTCTTTGTTTTCCGATGAAAACAAAGTAAATAAATTGTTGCCACTATCGTTGAAATAAATGTTAGAATCCCTATTTTCAATTAGCACTGCTCGTCAGATTCCCACGTGATTTTGGTAATCAACAAAATGTATTTTCATTGAAACTCTAAATTCCGTAAGTTAGTTCTAAAATAACTCACAAAAACAGATTGGTCTAATCTCAATTTAATTGTTACAATTATTCAAATAATTCTTTTAATCGCCATCTTAGGATCTGAGAAATCAAATAATTTTTTTGGGATTACTTTATTTTTTCTTAACATTCAATCAATAACATAAACCAAAAAATGCTATTCAAACCTTTAAGCAAAGGCAAAAACTTTTCAGTTTACGGAGAATACTCAGTGGCATCTGTAGCTCGATCTAACTGACAAAATTGCTATAAATTTGGTAAAGAGACTAACGACGATGTGGGAAAGAACATTTCGTAAAAGAAATGTTTCAATTTCGAAAATAGCCAAATGGGGAAAAGATGGCGCTGCTGGTAGCTCAAAATGAATGTAAAAACAAAACATGCAAATGCATAAAACTTCAAAAGGTTTAAGTAAAATGAAAAGGAAAAGAAAAAATAAAACAGAAAATATGAATGAATGTTTATATTAAAATCGTTATCGTCAAAAAAATGGTTAATAACTTAAAATCTAGCCTAGGTGCTATAGCGAACGCTATCATTGAATTTGGAATTCCTACTGGTCTATAATTTTTCAATAGTGATCCTTTATTTGCGAACAAGTTATTTTGAGTTTCCACATTTTAAGCTTGATCGGGATAAAAATTCGCATATAAGTTCAGTCAGCAGGGTCTCATCAGTGGTGGGCTCTCATTAGTGGTCTCACAGGGCTGATCAGTGGTGGTAAAAAATATTTTAAATTAAGTTTATTCAAACGTCAATGAAATAATAAAACATTATTTTTTAACCATTTTAATTAATTTTTTTTTCAATGAGCTGCACAATCGGTCTTGCCGATGAGCAGGCCTAGTGCGTTCTTCAGAGATGGTATCCACTCTTTCAGGACCACCAAAATGGGGGAGATACCGTTGGTCATGTTAATTTGGACGTCTAGTTTCTGCCACACTAGATGGCAGCACCGAGACTCTATTTGGATGCTAAAGTGCACTAGGAATTTAATTTTGCCGGAAATGCCAAGAGCCAATAAGGCACTCCAGGGATCTTTTACATGCCGTATAATCATACGACATGGCCGCTGAGGATTTTCTGCATCCCGAAAATCCGGTGTCTGGGCCGGTGATGGAACCCGCAAATTGGGCTCATAAGGCCGACGACAAACCAACTGCGCCACCCAGCCACTTAATTATAATATAAATCTCCAGAAAATCGATTGGCATGTAATAGATAAAATAAGAAACCGCTAACACACTTCCTACAACTGAAGCTAAATATTTCTCGCATAACAAATGGGGGGGAGGAAAAATGTATCTTGCATCTGTACCTAAAAATATGATTAATTATCTTCCTTACCTTTCATGTATCTATTTAAATCATTTATATGTTGAGGGGGGGACAAAATTTACTTTGTTCTAATTTATTTCGGCATTAGGTAGGCAGGTACTTTATTTACGGGAAACAACTCTGAGAAGGATTCGAAAACATGCCATCAATATTATGATCCTCTGGGAAGGAATGTCTCCCCCGCTTTGGTAGCCCGAGAACATACTTGCGAAAACGAGCACTTTACGGTAGAACTGTTTAAGAGGACCGATAACACGCACCCTTGGTCCCTACGCAGGATGATCAAAGTGGTCAGTCACCCGTTTACTGACCGTAGCCAGTGATGCTTTTTCAGTATTAATAATACATTACTTCTTTTACCATCAGAACAAATATTTTCTAAAATTACGAAAAATCCTTAGTAATTTGAAGAGTATAGAAGAAGTTTCAAAACTGAAGTTTACATTCAATATATAATTAAAATTTGTTAAATTTGTGTTTGTTTAATGCAACATAACTTTCGAATACCTGTAACCTGTTAGCCGAACAACCAGGATAGGTATTCAAAGTAAGGCTTCTTAAAAAGCATTTCTAATAATAAATAATGTTTATTACAAGGCATGAAATTTCAGCTTTAAAGGTACTAACCGGGCCAAAATTTTTGCCAGCCACCTTTTCCACGGAAAGTATGAGCAATTTCTTAAAATGTTAGTCAATGTAAAACGAAGAGCTTTTTTGTCTCCAAAACTGCGAAAGGATGTAGAAAACTTAAAACATATTTGTTGTAAAAAGGAAAAAAATAACAATAATAATAATTATTATTATTATATTTTTGAAAAAAAAAATAAGGTTCCAATGAGTCTAATATCATTCACATATCATTAAAATATCAGAAGTGTTTCCGTAATATTAAAATGTCGTGATTGTATACCTCTGCCTTTCAGCACTAAAATACCCTTTGTCAGCGTCAAAATATGTTAGGAAAGGCTCATATATTGAAATTTCGCGTAAATCATCCTAGTGAATTTCAAATCTCGAATGCTTGCTGAAGTTGCTTTCTGATATTCTCTGGGTTTTTTTCCCTGAACACTGCGGGAAAAAATATGGATGGTAATTTAGTTTGAAAAGCAACATTTTACAAGAAAAATTTGCCAGGCCTTAATATTCGGTCTCCAATGGCGAGCTGGATAGTGAAAATGTTGAGCTCAGTTTAATAACAATATAATTAACGATATTATACCAGAATCTATGCTGAAAATATTTATCTAAAAGCTTTTTAGAAAGTATATCAATGACGTGGCAAATTTCATTTTTTATAATTAGCAAAAACTTTTAATTAATTATTTATGAGCCTTGTCCATAAATTATAAGTTAGATTTTAAAAATATTTTTAAAGATAGACGTAGATGAAATTAGTTAAACTTTTCACGCACATTTGCATGTTACGGGATCATTTAATGATTAATTTTGAGTAAATTATTCGGGAGAATCTCAAGTTTCGCGGTGGTGAAGGTTTACCGAAATCGCATTCTGATATTTTGAAAGTAAACGCTGCAACGAGCTGGAGAGAGAAAATTTCGAGCTCTAATTAATAACAAAATAATTATTGATATTATATCAGAAGCAATGCTGGAAATATTTATCTGAAAGATTTTTGGGAAGTATATCAATGCGTAACGTGATAAATTTCCTTTTTTATCAGCAAGAACTTTTAATCAGATATTTATGAGCCTTGTTCATAAATTATAAATTAGATTTTTTAAAAAAATTAACGATGAACGTAGGCAAAATTAGTTAAACTTTTCACGCACGTTTTTTCTTCCTACACTGTTCTTATCTAAAATCCGACGCACCAAAACAAAGAATAAAACTAAATCTTTCATTGGATAACTTCTTTCAGAAAATCAGAAATGCATTTATTTTTTCAGTTTGTAAAATTATCAGTTTACTTTTAAGGTTGTTAAGGTGTTTTTGTATGCAAAAAAGGATAAGAACTTTTGAAACTAGATCACGAAAATAAAAATAAAAAACCTGATAAGATTTGAAATCTAAACTAGAAACAAGATTTCTTTTTTTTTAAAGAGTTTAACATGGAATAATTACGTGAAGTCAGCATTTGATAGAAGTATCTTAATTTATTGAAAAGAAAAGAATAAAATGAATATAGCTTTTCTTTTTTTTTAAGAAAATATATTAATCTTACTAGTGGGTTCCAGTCCTTACACGCTAACGCTCGTAAGCCCCATAAATCAGGGAGCGAGATTTCCACTCGCTAGTTCGCGACAGAATCAGCAGCGGTTCCCAATTTTTTTTGGCTATGGAACCCTGAAAAATCAACCTTCTTTCGGCGGAACCTCGACTTTACAAATAAATATCATTAAAGTTTTTTTGAACGTTATAGCCTATAAGAGACTGCTTTTAAATATTTCATTAGAGGTATGAGAATTTTTAATAGTTTTATTATTAATAATCTTAAATTGTGCTTTATGTCCGACAGTCAAATTTGCAGTCCTGGTACTATTTCTAGTCTGGTAATGAGTTTGCTTTTAGCTGAAATACATAATCTGAAAATGAATGAAATAAGACAAATTATAGTTTTTTTCGAAATGAAAACTTAAATAACTGTTATAAATGGTTGAAAATGGTTATTAGGGAAACGTATTTCCTTATTAAAGATGTTAGTTACTTTGTTTTTGATTTGAAAAGCATAATGGAAAATTCCAATGCAATATTTTATAAATGCTTTTTTTTTCGTAATTTGTTCAATATATTGCTGTCAGAAATATTATATTTTATCTTAAAAATGTCATTTCTATTTCTTTGGCATTTTATTTGAAGTAACATGACACAGTCAACCGAAAGATTAATTAAATTATGAATTATAGGGTGAATCTAAATATTATCTCAGGTTTCAAAACTCATCATTTGTTATAAAAATTAACTCTCAGAATCCCTTAAACTCTTCCACCGAGTGCTAGGGTTCCGCGGAACACCAGTTGGGCTTCACTCGAACACCAAGCGAATTCGCTTGGAGTTCGAGCTATTCGAAATGCAGTCTAGTATTTGGCAACTTAAATGAATGCAAAAAGTCTAAAAAAAAACATTACTGCAGAATAAATAAATTATTTCTTTTTCTCAAAAGTGAGCATCACGAAAAATACATATTTATATCATGGAATCTGAATTCTCATTTTTTTTTTCAGAACTTTCAGCTATCAAAAGTTATTTAGCAACTAAATATTTTAGTCACTCAATAGATGTATAGACGGTAAAAACATAATCACTTTGAATTATTGATCATGCAGTTTCATTAATATTATTATTAATATATTATTATTATTCATGTTAAATATTTAAGAAAAAAATATTTAACATGACAAAAAAATGCCCTATAAAAGGGTAAAATAGCATTTTAAAGTACTGAGTACAAAAGATTGAAAACGCAGCAAAACGTGCCTTTATTTTTGTATAAAAGATTGTAATCAATCATCCGAGAATCAATTGCTTTGTGTATTTCTTGGAAAAACTGATAAAACAATGATTGCATTGAATTTAATAAGCTTTAGTGTACTACAATAGATATGTATCGAATTCAATTTATTTTAACGTTGATAAAAAATGTCCTTGGTTATGTGAAAAGATAATTATTTCTCGTCGAAGATCAATGAAATAATATATTCTGAGCAAAACACTGTACTAACAAAAAGCATTTTTTTTTTCATCATAAAGAGGACTCTGGGCAAATTTTTTAAAAAAGCTTTATTTGTTTGTTAAAGATGAATCTTTACATTACAACTAATAAGTAATGCTCACTTCATGATTAGTACATTATTTATGAAATATGAAATAAATAATTTTGAATGACCATACTACAAAACATATATGCAAAAATTTATACAAAACGTATTGCTACAATAATTAATAACTAACTTCAATATACATATTTATACCTGATTTTATATTTTGGAATTTTCACGCTACAAAGCGTTTGGCTAGGCGAAACGGCGAGACCACTTGCTCATTGATGCTCTGTCAGAATCAGATTCCTGCAAGTGGTGTCATCGCCGATAAATCGTGACATTCGCTTATGTTACGATTCAGAAGCCAATCAGGATCGGCACGTCATGTGACGTCACTTACTGGTATCTAATTAAATCTGATCTGAAAATTAATTCAGCGTGATATTAAACTAAGCCTAATTACTGTGACGTTAACCCGCCAAGTGTTAACGTTACTATATAATTTAATCTTATGGTTGGGTCTAATCACGTATTTTTCTTCTCAAGTTGCAAATACTCTAATACCACATATTTCTTTGTTTGTTTATTGTTACACATACATATGAGCTCATTAAAAAGTACGGCTTATAATCTCTCGTCTAGATAAAGAATAGATAGAGAAACTCATTACTTTACTTGCGACTACTCTCGACCACTTTTTTTTAAAAAAAGGGTCGGTTTTACAGCACTACAAAATGTTGAGCAAACGCTTCACCAATCAAGAGTGGTGCAATTTGCATTATGTTGAAAGAATTTATACACCAGATGTAACAACAAATAATAGTTGAACATTAGTAGCCGTAAACCCAAAAAATTGGGTCGGTTGTTCAACGACAGGTTATAAAATAAAAATAAATAAATAAAAATAATGAAAACTTAACGCGAATACATATTGAAAAAAAAATCGAATCAACATGACTATTTTACGAGAACATTTTTAACTAATATGAGAATATTAAGATGATTAATCTCTCACACTTATCATCATTTTATGATTCAATAACAGTGCCATAATTTATAATGTCATAACAGCGACCCTCAGATAGGAAGTGAAGATGAATCAGAGTATTTCAAACAAAATAGCATCAAAATAAATATTACACGTGGAAGATGTCTCGTTGCTGAATGAAGTCAGTCGATTTGGATGACAGAATGAAGTAAATGTCACAGTTTTGGAGTAATGAAACCTGTAATAAAATGTTTTAATGCATAATTAAATCAGGAAAAATTCTTTTTTTATTTCAATAAAATGTTAAACTTTTTTTTTTACATTGTTATCTTTTTAAATGTTACCTGCTTCTTTCTTCTTACCTGTGCTACAGAGTTTTTAACCCCTTCTACCATTCACTTTTATTCTATCGTACTATTTTTAACTGTCTAAAATAAAGGATGTTGTTTCTTCTCAAAACTCTGTTATGGTGTTTTAAGCTTTTAAAAACAAGTGTTTTAAGATTACCTAATTTTAGTACAATGCTTACTATATATCTTACTATATATCCTCTTAAAAATAAAATTCAGTGAAGCCTCCAGAAAAAACCATCCTTGTGTAGCAACCTCCTCTATTTACGATCACTTTTGGGAGGTACGGAAGTCTTTCCATAGACTTTGTTTTGAAGAAAGCCTTTAGGAGAGGCCATCAAAGCCTCTTCCAGCAAATGGACAAACTTCCGCACCAAATGCGGAAAAGGTCAAATAAGGAAACAAAAAATATTAACAAAACAATTGAGTAGATATGTGTTCAAACTATTTGTTAGTGGATCTTAGCTAGAGAACTCTTTTTGACGATCTCTAAAAGAGATCAAAAATCTCATATTGCAGTCAAAGTACACTAAAGACGATGCTATCGATGTTTCATTTTTTGAGTTAAAAGTTAAATTAGCTAAGAAAGTTTTTTAGAAAAAACTAAGTACCTCTAACAAACAAACCTCCTCTCATTTTTAAAGCAAACAAATTTTTATGCTATACAACTAAATACAAACTTAAACAAAAACATAATTGATTGTTTATTTGAAATAGCTCTATGATTCATAATTGGTACGTTTGTTTTTACACTTTATATGAGTAGGGGTCATTTTTATTCATTGATCTGGTTTTCATGACACCAACGCAAGTGACATTTCCGCATCAAGAAAACGACACTGACTAAAATAAAAATCGTTTGCGAAAAATCATGTACCTTCAATAACATTTTAAAGTCAATAGAGTTCCCCTAAGAACGATCAACATTAATGACCATCATTAACACTGTGGAACAGAGAGTGGTCGCTCCCGGGGCTAAAGAGAGAATCTCTTTTCTTTATCCCTGGGTAGCTCCCCGAGAGATTTTACTGTATTAGCTAAATCATGAAAATTTTGCTAACTTTCTTCATCAATGCAGATGATTATTCGGGAAATATTTAAAAAAAAAAAGAACGGTAATCGAACATATCATTTCTACCTATTTTTTATTACTATTATTGACTGTCATTTCTTTTTTTTTATTTAAAACATGTCATTAATTAGTGATATTTCCTGCTGATACGTAATATTATTACTATTGCTTCTTGCAAATAAATATAGACAGTAATAGTAGTTGCGACGGATAACTTACTTCTGAAGTGGAGGTATAAATAAAATGTTTCTATTACCAGTTTTTTATCTTTTCCAAATGAAAAACAAACTTGTAAATAAAATAAAAAAATTTCATGCAAATCTACCAATTGCACTTTTGGAGAAAAAAATGCCAACTATAATATCCTATTATGCTTTTTTGGGTGGAGAATTCAATATGAATGTGCTCTTAATTCAGTTTTTAATAACTTATTACATTCAATTTTCTTAAGAAAAAATAAATTTTTTTCTCGCTTTTTCTTGCGTTTTTTCTTGCGATTTGTTATCGTATTTTCTCTATTTCTCACGTTTCCTCTAAACAACAGGTAGAGAAAAAAAGTTTTTTTTTAATTGTATTGTCACAATATGCGATTATTATATAAAATTAGTCTCAACATCTGTTTTGAAAAAGCTAATATTTTAAATTCATCTTTTTCTTTCGTTTAGTTCTTTCACTTACTGATATAATCGCTGAAGTTATTTCAGCTTTGCAAATTTTGAGAAAAAAAGCGAAAAACTGGTTAAAAGCACATTTTAGTTTTACTCTGTTTAAAAATAAAATTTGTTACTAACCACCATTTATTAGCAGTTGCACTTCATGATTATATTTTTGTGAACTTTCTCGAGTGAATATACGTATCTCAGCTGTCAATAAATAGTGGTAGAAATTGGTAGTTTTACTTCTTAAAATAAAGAAAAATATTGTGTTTTTACCATCAGTAATAATTAATTTACTTATCCCCGATCCGCCTTAATCAGTACCTAATATTTTTCAAACTCCATCAAGGAAAATAAAAAAAAAAGCCATAGTGTAAGTGCCTTACATTTGAAGCAATGCGATGATGTTAAATTATATATATAATCTCGCCGTAAAAATTATCTGCGCTTTAGAATAGATATATAACTTAAATGTTTTAAAAGTTATTGAACCTTTTTAAAAATCGCCAATTTGGCGACATTTTTCCACCTAGATAAAAATTATCAAAATCTCTGCCGTATTCTCAGTTTTTGCAAATTTTATGAGCCCACACAATACAACATTGCAGTAAGATTTTAAATATTAAAAAATTAGAATATAAATGCTTTTCATTTTCGCAAAACGGGGGCTTTTCTCCATATTGACGTTTTGAGCCATTTTCAAAATAAGCGTAGACAGTGCTGGCTTTAGACTTACTTAAACTTGACCTAACAGTCATGTGAAACAGTTGCAAACTCACAACAGTTATAAAAATAGCATATTACTCGCAAAAAAGCATAATTTTATATTACGACGGAGCCTTTGAGAAACAGCCTTAAAACTACCTAATCATTAAAAAAAAATTATATATCGTAGGCTAATTGGCCGATGTCATTTTACAATGCACCTAAGAAACTTGTTCCAATAAACCTTATGTATTAGGGCAGCAATTCGCTTATAGCCATATTTTTCAGTAAGCCTATTTGCATGACTAAAAATTAAAAAAAAAAAAACGAGTTACCTTATTAAAATACCATACCGAAAATATTACATGTTATACTTTTGCGACAACACTTTTTTTTACTGACTCATCTTGGAATCTCATTACTTAGCTAACTAATTACAACAATCGTGTCTCACTTACGTGCTTTGCAATTCGCATTTTGTGGCCAGTCACAAACATTCTTTTTAGGGTTAAAATGCAGTCCACCTTTGCAGTTGTGAGGATAAGCCATGCCATGATCGCATTGATAAAACATAGTGCAATCAGTTGGGTGGGGAAAATAAACAGAAAATCTTCCATTCTTCTTTGGACACTCATCAAAGTCTGAGTGTTTACCAGTACCTGAAACAAGAAGAAAAAAATATTACAGTATAATAATTATGAATACCAGAAAAAGCCTAAGGATCGATAGTGTACTAGAATATATCAACAAACTAAGCTCAAGTTTTTACGATAGCGCTGGAAACGGCATAACAATTGGCTTCAATGACATAGTAAGTAAGGAGCTCGTAGAAGACATAAGAACGAATCACGGAAAAAAGCATCGGGAAAAAAAGTATTTTTTAAAAAATCACCAGAAAAAGCTCATGTTACACCACTAAAAAAACAGAATCATTAAGTTTTGAGAAGAATTTTTAAAAAAAAATCTGCGATTATTTAATAATTAGGAATTTAACGACCGAATTATGATCATGACATAACGTTACGATCTATCCACGGGCATGTTTAAATTTTTGTTCCAAAGAGAAAGTGTGTTTTTTTCTTCAAACGAAAGCAAAAGTAAATAACGTTTAGTGATCTTACCAACAAAATAAAAGAAAAATAATTTAAAATTAAATAAGACAGGTTTTAAAAAGAAATTCTAATTATTGTTTACTGAACAAATAAATGAATTATAAATAAGAGAAAAAATCAAATAAAAAAATAATCAAATAATAATTTTTTTCCAATGACATAAGTCATACAGGCATCTGAAGAGCAGATTTATAAGCCACTCTTTCAGGGGCACCATATTAAGTGGGCCATTATTGCCCCCACAGTAAGGACAGATAGTAGAGAGAATGAAAGAACATCCATGCCTTCCCTGTGATTCGAGCCCAGAACCTTTCTGGTGCAATGCCAGTTCCCTGACAACCTACACAGGTAGATCAGCATCAAATAAAAAATAAAGTAATGAAAATAAAATAAGACAGCTAAACAAAAACGTTATATAAAATTAATTTGAAAAAAAACTTACTTTTACAACCTGATTGATGAACACACTCTTGCTGGGAAGCATTAAATACCATGTCCGCTGTACAAAAGTACTGAAGTGGTTTCCCCTTCGAACAAATGAACATACTCTTGCAGTCAGTTGGATCAGGTATTAATCTTGGAATTTTACCAGACACAGATGTACTACAAGTAGGAGACCAAGAAGACGCATTGGAAAACTTTATTAAGAATATTGACGCGAAACTGATCTGCATGAAAGTTATTGTGAAGGAAATCATCTTGAAAAAATGTTTGTGACTTTAAAATCTGGAAGAAAAAAAATATTTTTTTTTTATAAACCAAACACCACTCGGGACAATATTCTACTAAGAAAACACAAATCTTTTAATGTTTTTGAATATTAGGTTATCTATATTTTCTTCTTGCGTTGTATTTTATAACCAGTCGACCCAATTTTCAATTTGCTTTGAATCAACTCCGTAACTATTAAGTTTTGAATCACATCCAGAATATAAGGAAATACCAGGATCAAGCATTGCGACAAACTAAACTTCGTGGAAGATGTTTAATGGAAATAACACGCATTTGCTTTACATGGAGAGGTTTTGTAAATGCTTTAAATATATGCTGCAATTGTTTGTAAAAATTAACTTACGGTAACATTAACGTTTATTTAACATGCATTTCGTGTTATGTAAACAATTTTAACTTGACTAATTTCTAAATCAACTGAGAATAATAAATTCTAAAGAAAAAGCAATAGAGCATATTGACGAGTTTTTCGAAAACAGGGTTTGGCACTTTTTCCACACGAAACAACATACAACATGTAAGAATATTTATTTACTTTAAAAAGAAACTTTAATTTTTAGTCATTAAAAATTTCTGTTTCAAATAATTTCATGCTATTACTAACAATCGATTCTCCTGTTACAACCGACAGAGTTTAGGTAACAGTACCAAGTTACATAATGTCGAGCCTGGTTTAATTAGTACCGATATCAGACTAACAATTCAGTCCCTCGATCACTCCCTAGGCCTAGAGGAATCGTAGACTTTTGTAAGCGAATAAAGATATGGAATATTCGCTTACATTTTCCTTAAGATAGGAATAAATGGCAGACTTTATTAACGATTTCAAAATTTTAAATTTTAAAGTCTAGCATTTCTTTTCACATGACAAAATATATCCAAAAGCATTTCCTCGCTTCAAGTTTTTATTGCATTTCTTAATTTCATAATGCCTCCCAATGAGGTGACCAAATCTATATATATATATATANATTCCTGGAAAATGGCCGGGCAAGTATGTATCGAGAGTAATGTGATCAATGTGCACGCTTATTCCATTTACGAAAACAAGTGGCAATTATTAATAATAATCAGATTAACCTGAATAATAACCTAGCAGAAATCAATGAGCCATTGCCCGGTATTCTCTACACTGTTCTTTCAAGGTTAAAGGTCATTGCTTGGTATTCCCCTCATAGACATTTTTTCTAATCTATCCTAGGGAAAAAATTTGTAATCACTCCCGGAGGGGATTCCAAAATTCTGATATTAAAAAAAAAAAAAATTCTGAAATTCTGAAATCAAAAATAAGATTTTGTGTGCTGTGCATGTCCAGGGGATTCCTGGAAAATGGCCGGGCAAGTATATATCGAGAGTAATTAGATCAATGTGCACGCTTATTCCATTTACGAAAACAAGTGGTAATTATTAATAATAATCAAATTAACCTGAATAATAACCTAGCAGAAATCAATGAGCCATTACCCGGTATTCTCTACACTTTTCTTTCAAGGTTAGAGGTCATTGCTTGGTATTCACCTCATAGACATTTTTTCTGGTCTATCCTAGGTGAAAAATTTGTAACCACCCCCGGTAGGGGATTCCAAAATTCTGATATTAAAAAAAAATATGCTCCAAAATTCTTAAAACAAAAATAAGATTTTGTGTGTTGTGCATGTTTCTGGAAAAATGCAAGCATGCATCTCCAATCTGCAAAAGAAATTNAAAAAAAAAAAAAACAACACTTTTTAGGAAATTTTCAAATTGAAAGATGAGTCTAAAAAACGACTCTAATTTCCAAATAATGCATGTAAATGTTTCTAACATTCATTGCAAAAGTGATTCGTTGATTATTGATTAAAAATGTATGAAACGAGCTTAACTCAATAAAGCCTTATGAAGTCACACGTTATCAATAGTGTAACCTTGGTCGAAAAATATTTATCTCATTGAAACAAATAGAAGCAATAATAATAATTAAACCTGTATGACCGAATATTCGAAAGAGTTACGTTTTTATGGTTTACATATTAATTTGCTAAACGATTTTATCAAAAACTTTGGGTAACTAAGATTTCTGAAAAATGAAATACATAAAAATTTCATTATTCTCGAATTTTTTCTATTCGATTTAATTGCTACAATCATTTGTATTCTAAGACCCTAGGACACATTTAAGACAAAATTTGTAACGAGGGAAGCGATTATTTGCCAAGCGAATCATATAAGATTGCATTGCAATCTTTAGGAGTTGGCGAGAGTAGGGGCGGAGCTCACTAGTTTTAAAATAATTCATACAACAATATACGTATCTCTAAATTGATCCTCTCTAATTTCTCCTCTCGGTGTAAGGCAAATGCGGGTAAATTCTATCAAAAAGTCCTACACGAAGCCTAGTTTGTCCCAGGAGTTCCCTTGTCTTCTGGGATGGGTTCAAAATTACAAGTCTACGTAGTTGAACATTTATGGTCCTAAATTCAGAATTGGGTCGGCTGTTCAATGTCGGTTTTATAAAATAAAATAAAATAAAAATATAACTCTTGACATTATTGACTCTTATTGAACAAATGAAATCAATAATCAATATTGAACAAATGTGTTTAAAATCAAAATGTAAAAAAATAATGAATAATTTTATAAATAAATATTTCTCATACCTTTAATCAAGTACTAGCATGCTGCATACAAACTCTCGCTAAAAACTAACTTCTGGTAATTGAGATGAATTGAAAATGTGAGTTTATGGTTTAAAAAAATATTCATTTTCGATTCATTACGCAAAAAATAAAACGTGATAGTATAACTAACATAATTACGATTAAATCAAACACTAATGATAAAAATTAATCTGATAATCAAACTTATGCATCACGAGTATTAAGAGATGTTCATTATCATATGGTGCACTGATCTTATCATAACTATTTTAAAAATAAAAAAGTTTAAAACAAATAAATACCTGCGTATTTATTTTAAAAATGTGTCACAAAAGTAATGGTAACGATTGTTTAACCCATTCATTCTTAGTTTCATTTTAGTTTTAATCAGATTTTAAGTCCTTTGAAAAACAATACGTGTTTAAAAAAAATTTATTAAAAAATTGTATATGGAAAAAAAAAGAGCAGTAAATTTCTAGTTACAGCGTATAGCTGTCAACTTTCACAATTTAGCCGGAAGTTTTTCCTAATCTTTTCAAAATTGTTATTTTAATATTTATTTTTAATAATAATATTTTAACCCTTTTTCTAAGGCCGCGGTTAATATAATTACCACTAATTTCAACAATTTATAAATGCCCTTTGTCAGCTATTTTACCACTTTAAACTTGTGTTGCCACTTGTTAATATCTTGAGATTCTTGAGTTCTGATGAAGTATGTTCAAACAAATATGGTAACCATATGTCAGTTTTGAACAATATACATGTAGGAGCTGTAGTTCGTACTCAACTAAGAACACGCCCTTTTTTTTTTTTTTCAAAGTTTTATGGAATTTCTGCTATTTATGAATAAAAAGTTATGATAAACAATTTCATTGCAGAGCGTAGTATTTAAAAAAATTAATGTCATATTTAAAAAGAAATAAAAATTATTACGTTCCCTACTTTTTTGATAGCTTCTGAATGCTGTAGTAAACATGCTCCAAAAAGCAAAATCGTGTTAAAATTCAAATTAATTTTATGAAATAAGCCAAATGAATTTCTTTTCTTAATTCAATCTTAGTCGTAAAATTTTTTTAATGTACCATTGCTAAAAATAAACTGTCCGTTATAAAGTGAAAATATATATTCCACCTTGTACTTTTCTTTCATGTTAAAGAAAATTGCTCTGATAAAATCAGAGCAATTAGCTAATACATCAGATCGGTGTACACGGGTGAGCAACTCGTGGATCAAGTTGTAAGAATAGCAGATACACTAGCCTTTGCACATTCATTTCGTAGCTACTTTAAAAATAAAATATCTGATGAATTCGGAAACTTGAAGGTTTTGGCCAATAATATATTCGGTGTTTGTTCTAACTAAGTGCTAGAGACGTAATTCAGTATTACTTCATTTCTCAATTTAACTACTCATTCGTAAGTACTAAAATATTAATTATGATGTATACACATTATTATTAATGTGTGTATTTTAAACCAACTCCTTCTTTGTAATCTCTTTTAATGAAACACTGGAAGAAATAGTTGCTGATTTTATCACTTTTAATAGATTTTTGGTTTTTATTTTTCACCACGTTTTACATGCTTAGTCTGACGTACAATCATAACACATTGGCACAGCTGCAAAATTTTCTAAAGTTTTATAATTGGCAGTTTTAATATAAATAAACTTTCAACACAACGTAACTTATCTAGCGAAATTATAAAGAATAAACTACTTTTAAATACATGAATTGAATTAACTTCATTATGAATGGAGGAGAGAGACTAAGTGTGGACACATTGTTTACCGATTTGCTAAAAAGTTTACTAAGCCTAATTTTAAACATAACTTGCAATTTCCAATTTGAATAATTATATCCATTTCAAACTATACATAATTTAGTTTTTCAATTTTTGAATTTTTTTTTTCATCCTAACCTAAAAATTTTTTTTCCTTACTAAAGCTCTTGGTGAAATTTACCAAAAATAAATGAAACATAAGTACGTCGACTTACCTTGATTTCATCAACAAGGTGTTTTTAACTGGCAAAATCTCAACGTTACACAAATGTATTTTTTCTTTGGTATTAAAATTAATCCTAACTAGTCGAAGCATCCATTACACACAAAAAATTTTTAATCTGTATAGATATAAAGTAAAGCCCTCATTTACTCACCACTAATTCTTTCACTTTCCATGGGGTTAGAAAGCAAAAAACTGAAACACAGGTTTTCTATTAGATGAATAGAAAACTAAATATTTTTCATTTCGACATTTGCAATTATTGAGGTAATTTGGGGGTAAGGGTAATTATTTTAATAGACATAAATGTTAAATATCGTTTTTTTTTAAAGATGTCTCAAAATTGAACCATGTGTTTTTTAAGAAATAAAAACTAAAAGGGTTAAATTTCTATATTTTATTTTATATTATAACCGTCACTGAACAGCCAACCCAAATTCGGGTTTACGACTACTAATATTCAACTCCTTAGCCTTGTAATTTTGAACCAATCCAGAAGACAGGGAAACTCCTGGATCAGTAGTCCCAGAGGTATGATTTGTTATGGGAACATGCAGGACGTTGTGACTAGACAGATTTAACGTGCATCAGTCACGATTTACTACACGAGGAGTCTTTGGTCAGCAGGGATTGAACCCACGACCTCTTCGACATGGGCCCAGTGCCCTACCAACCAGGTTATCCCGGCATAATTTCCATATTTGTAATTATCAGTAATGTTAAAGACCACGTTTTGACCAAGATAAAAATCTTAAATTCAGACCAAGCATTCTTTATGAAATAAATAGAAAAGCTAAAAAAAAAATTCATTTCAATATTTTGTAACTATCAAGGTAATTAGCCTATTTCACAGTTATGATTAAGAAACACATTTTTACAAAGACAGAAGTCTCAAATTTGAACTATGTTTTTTATGAGATAAGTAGAAAAACATAACATCATTTCAATATTTTTATTTATCAGGATAGTTAGGAGCTGTAATACTAACAGAAATACTAAATAACACTTTACTATCAAAATAGAAGTCTCAAACTTGAACCATATCTTCTTATCGAATTTTAAAAATAAATTTTAAAAAGTTTTACTGGGATATTTGATAGTTAGCTGACTCAACAGTCATTCTAAACAAGTTCCAATCAATTACCACCAATTGTTAAATGCAGCTTAATCAATTCTGGCTCTTCTAACTGTTGAGATTATGCAGGTGAACAACTATGTAAGACCGCAAAGCATTGAATTTATATACGTGGGCCAATTGGCTAGCTCAAGCTAGACTGAGAAAGAATTCTAAACCTTCGATTTGCACTCAAAGTACTAATACTGGGGATTTAAATCAATGCTGCAGAAGACAACTGGAACCAACATGGGGTCCCAAAGCAGTCACCTGTCACAGATGATGGATGATGTGGAACAGTGACAGGTGAGTTCATGTAGGTGAACCAACTAGTAGGACAATAACCAAATGTTTTGTAACATAATTTCAAAAATTATAATAGCTCTACTTGTCACTTTTATCAAGCTATTTATTCCAATTGTTATTTTAATTTCCCATAAAATGCAAGAACTTGTAAAAAAAATTTCAATCAATTTAAAGCTTAAAATGTCAATATGTAATACCAGTAAGAAATAACAGTTGAATAAAAATATACATTTCTTTATTCAAGTTAACAATAAATAAATCCATCATAAATAGTATCAAGATACAAATTAAATTTCTTTGGCACTAAACAGTACAATAAATATATGGCCTTTTTTAATCTTTGAGATTTAAAAGTGATTTTTTTTTAATAAAATTAACTTTTTAATTCCATAAAATGCAAAGTGGAATCAACAACATTACTAGTGTCAATATACTTGTTTTCAACCATTATTTTAATCCTCTATTGTAGATTTCAATTTAATATAAAAAAATAAGTACATAAGATAAAATTCAAAAAATATATATTACAGGTTTTCTTTCATTTTACTTTCATTTTTCACTACGTTAAAATATTTCCTAAATGCATTTGTTTAAACATTTGTATATATTTTCAACAACAACAAAAAAAATTAACCAAAATACCCATAATATTTTATAATCGTACAAAAACATATTTTATATTGAGAGCCAATTCCATAAATATCCAATATAACAGTAAGTATCAAAATATCAATATAAACAATTTATATATATTTTATGCAATGATTTAATTTATATAAACAATGTATATACAGTGGAGCATCGTTTATACGACGATCACTTATACGACGTTTACATTTATACGACGTTTTAGTGTGGTCCCAAATCATTCCTATTCATTTTAATGTAAAAATATATCGTTTATACGACGCACAGAATCGGTTATACGTCGGTTTTTAGATTTTGGTCACCTTTATTTAATTTTTTATTTTTTCTTGTGTATTTTAAAAAAACGTGGCATTTGCCAACATGAATGATACAGAAAAGGGTGCCAACAAGAATGCTTGGATGACGGCCGTAATTTTTACTAGATGACTGAAAAAACTAGACAATATTATGAAGAGGCAAAAACGAAATACTTTGCTATTCATCGACCAATGTCCAGCGCACCCATCGATACTAATTATTTTGGAAGATGTAAAAGCTCTCTTTTTTCCTGCAAATTGCGCAAGTGAGCTTCAGCCATTAGATTTGGCTGTGATTAGAAATCTGAAATTGCATCATAGAAAGCAGTAAGTTCAACTCGCTATTCAAAGCATTGTAGAGACTAATAGCAAGAAAATATAATTAAAGGTAACATACATTCAAACTGCACACTGCAATTTTTCTTCTTTGGTTATTTATTTGTTTTGCTTTGTCTAACTTAGAAATTTATGTAAATCAACACGTTAAACGTTAAAATTAGCTGAAAACAGAGTTAGTTTCAGTTTTAGAAGTAAAAATCGATTATACGACGTTATCGTTTATACGACGTTTTTCGGTGGTCCCTTCGGCGTCGTATAAACGATGCTCCACTGTATATTTATATAATAAAAGTACACTCTTAAAAAATAGTTGTAAAAAATATTTCTAACATAAGGAACTTTTAAAGTAAAAAATAAATAATTTAATTATAAAGGAAAATACACAAATTTCAACATGAATCAAAAACAGAATTAAACCATAGCTTAATCAATTCTAAATTTTAAAACATTAAGAAAAATGCATATCAATTAACACTCCTATATGCACAAATTTTCAGTGTTTTAGCCGTCGCATTAAAAAAGTTGTTTGTTTTTAAAAAATAAAGGAAACAAATTTACTTAACTTTTCTGAGTAATCTAGCTATCAAATCGAGAGAAAAAAGTAACAATGCAAAATAATTAATTTTTTTAATCTAAAAAATAAAATAATAACTAAGTTTGACTCGTTAGACTATGTAAATACATTAACCAGAAGCTCTTACAATTGGCCTAGCAAATCAACTATATAATTTTAAAAAATGGCCCACATAACCGACCCTCCATATCTCAATGAAATATTATAACGGTACATAACAAACAACTAGCACATAAGACTTCACTTCCCAGCTTTAGTCAAACTTTAAGGATAAGAAAAATAATATTAAAAAACCTCTAGCAACTTTAATCACTTTTATTTTTATGCCATAAATATCTACATTAAAAAAAAAGTAAACAATGCAGTTAAATCAGTAAGAAAATAATTTCACTCTGTTTTGGGGTGGAAGTATGAAAACAAACAATTTTATTAGAAACTCTTTTGACTAATCTCGTCCAAATTCCTGCCTCGTAGATGGCCGATCGATGCGGAAGAGTTCATGGCACACATTAAAGTAACCTTCATACTCAACGGAATCGGGCGTGATGTCATAATGGTAATGACCACCTTCATTGTGATCACTAAAACAGTGAGTGTGCTCAACTCTCAAATTAAATCCCTAGATAAAAAGAAATTTTGTTTTATAATTTATTAAAAATTATGAGGAATACAAAAATTGCTTATAATAGAATAATATACAGATAATTTTGTTTCAAAATGGATATTTAATCACTTCAATATTAAGGGAAAAAGTAATTTATTACAAGAAAATATCACTGAGTGTAACATAAAATCTAGATATGAAAAAAAAATTTTTATTGATTTAGAGGCACTAAATTGATCATCATGATAGCACTACATCCCTTAGTCCTGCCCTCCTTAAAGATTTAGGACCATTTTTTCCTATTGCTTTTCTTTTTCTTATATTTTTCATGAATTTCAGGTCCTCTTCAACTTGTTTTTTCCATCAAGTCTTCCAGATTTTAGCCCTTCAAGTTTTCCTGTTTAATACATTTTGACATTTCTTTCAAAGACTATTCTTAAGATGTGTTCAAACCATTGGATTCTTTTTATTCTTATATTTGCAACAATATCTGGTTCCTTACATTTACCATAAATCTCTTTATTTGCTTAGATGCTCCTATGTCCTCTGAATTGATATTTGCCTTTTTCCTTATTTATAAATTTTTTAACCTTTAGTATTAACACTCTAATGTTATTTTGATTGATATATGTTGATGATAATGCATTTTAAGGTCAAATGAATATGACTATATTAAACCTCTTCCGCAAAAATAAAAAAGCAAAGGCTAAGCATAATAAAATAAAGCGATAACATCTAACAAAAGTTGTAAAGTGCATGTGTGGTTTGTTCACAAGTTCAAAACGTAGCATCTAATTTTTTTTTCACTTGTTAGCATGGAAGATTTTTTTGTTTTGTTAGGGATAACTTTTTAAATATCAAAATGTAGTTTAAGATTTATATTTTGTTTTAATTTTTCTTTAACAGCAAATACAGTTTAATTAATCATATTGAAAAATATATATTGCAGGAATATCTGTAACTATTGTTAATTCAATAAAAATTAAATTAATAAAAATAATAGAATTAATAATAGAATTAGCTAAATTAATAAAAATAAAATGTTTGAAAAATTATCTTGCATATTAAGATTTTTTAAGATTTTCATTGTTTCTAAAAACTGATAAAAACTGGTTAAACACTGAAATACCAATAGTATCAAATGATATTTTTGTGTCTACTGTCAACAATGTTTGATTTGTTTATAGACTTGAAGTATTGTACATTTCTTTTACAAAAAATAAATAAATAACCATACATCTAGGAATTATATTCAACTTGTAATTCCTCTCAGTATAATCTACTTTTCGTTTTTTTAATAGAAATATTATATGGCGAAATTCTTAATAATTCAACACAATTTGCTTACTTCCAATTTTCAGAATTAAGTCAGAAAACCAGTTAAAGTAAATCAAAAAGGAAAATTAGACTACAAAAATAAAATTTTAATCAATAATGGAATAAAATCTAACACCCAGTGAATACAAAGCGCAAGCTTTCCCTATAGTAATAATAGGGCACCATGATAGCTTCTTTTGCTTTCTGTTATGCAGCAAATGTTTCCATAAATGTTTTAGTTTTTTGATACAACTCAGGACACAGGCCTCAAAATAAATAACACATTCAAATCCAACACATCAAAATCTAAGAAAAAAAGTTTTGTTTGACATCAAGATATCATGTACACTCTTTTGACATTTCCTTGTTAGAGGCATTATGAAACCTGCTACAAGGTAATAATTTTATGAAAAGTAATATGTCTTGATATAAAAGGAAAAAAATCATTGCCTTTAAAAATTCAAATTTATAATAGATACTGGATGTATTATGGAGCTACAGGCACCTTCAATTGCACAAAAATGGAATCAAAATGGAGAAAATTTAATTTCAAAAGTTTAAAGTTAAATCATAAGCAATTTCTGGTAGCCTTAAAACATTTGAAGAAAATTTTATCAACCATACATACCTAAATCTATAGCTCAAATAAGTTTACAAAAATATCATTTATCAATTAATTTTAAACAAATTAAGGTCTAAAATAATTTAAACTATTGTTTCAATATAAATTTGGTTAAAATATAAATTAAAAAAAGTCTTTCAATACATAAATACTTCCATGAATTCCTATAAAAAAGCATTATTAAAATATAATGTAATAAAAATAAGAATACCCTGCACTCATATTTTCTACAAAAGTATTAAACTAAGCATAAAATTTTTGCACAACTTACTATCTAAAGATGAAGAATAATTTATAAATAAATAATGTTTTTTTTTAATAGATGCTCAAGTTCACTATTATTTCTAATCCTTCACAGTGAATTATTTATTTGAATAGTCCAAAAAAGTTTTTTAACAATTTTTTATCAAATATTAATAAGTTATTTTCATCTTTATTCATCTAACTCCATGTTTCTTTTACTCTAAGTTACCATAGGGTTGATTACTGTTTTCAAATTTTATATTTAATTACTTTAGTTCTAGAATTTGTTCTTCAATAAATATTGGTATAAGCAAAAGTTTTTATTTCCTTTTAGTATCCTCTAATTAATTTCTTCTTGGATATTATTACCATTGATTATAAAATTATTATAATTGATCATTGAGCCAAAGTAAGTAAAACTAATAATTCTTTCAAATTCAAAGTTATCCATCTTTGCACATACAACTCAATGCTAATGTTACTTTACAATAGTCTAATTTAAAAATAAAGCAAAATCAAAATTGTATGATAAAAACATTGTTCAGTTAATAATATTATTTTTAACAATAGAAAACTACTTACAGGATCATGAGAAACAAAAGTACTTAAACATGTTAATGGAGCAGACATGTTAAAGAATTTTAACCAATTGTTGATATCATCATCACTTTTTAAAGGTTTCTCTGAATAATCTGGCTAAACAAGATAAATAAAATAAAGATATAGTACAGTCAAAATATATATTTAATAAATTCAGATAAGCTAAATTAAGATATTCACTTGAATAGATATCCTTTAAAAATATAAAACACCAATATTCAGCATCATAGTAAATTTCTCTCATTAAGTCAATGTACAATCAAATTATTCTTATGAAAAATTACTGTACTGTGAATGACTCAAAAATCAGTGTAATACATACAAATCCCTTTTTAGTGAATTCCAAGAGGCTCCTACTCAATAACGAAAATTTTTTATACCAATATTACTAATTTTAGCAAAAACCAAAAATATTTTATTACATTGGAATTTTGCATCTAAAAAACCTTAAAAATACTTTGCAGTTTTAATACATTTTTACTCTACGTTTGGAAAAACATCAATGCAATATATAAAGAGCTCACAAAAACTATTAAACTAAAACATTATATTTATTAATACTTTACTTATTATACAAATAGGAAATCTTTAATTTTTTCTGTACAAATGAACTATGACCAGTAGAAATTGCAAAATTCTTCAAATTATGCGCATGTTCAAACAAAGCATTTAAAAAGTACATTTGTGCCAATAAATATCTTCTTACAGCTTCCAAATCGGTACAGGCTTGTGAAGCTGTAGGTACAGTGGAAACATTTTATTCTGAACATGCTTCATCCTCATTTGATTTTTCTTTATTTTCTTGTATCATACAAATTACAAACTAAATAAGTTTGCTTTCTGGTAAAAGTTTAATGAAATCTTTTTACCTTTATAACAATAAGCAAACTTAAAACTATTGAATTTAGCTTCACTTATAATTACTGACATTTTAAAAGCTAAAAAATTGCACAAAGAGCAATTAAATATAAATCATAATAAAAATTTAAAACTTAAAAGTACCTTT